TCACAGGGGTCTTGCCTATCTGGTAATGCAGTTTTGGGAGTCAGTTTGATTTTGATTAATTAACAATGGTATTGTTAAGGGTTACAGGATAGTCAGTAGGGTGGAAGCAGTTCCTTGGCTTGATTAGCCTAAAATGGCTTGTAGAATAGAGTTTTGTAATGGTAAGTTCCTTTCACTAGGCTATTGTCATTTAATTACCTACTAATCACCATACACTCTCATTCACTTAAGGGGGACCAGTCCAATATATCACACCAAATGGACCCAGACCATGCTATGACAAGAAATGCGAAACCTGCCAAGACATCTCCACCACCCCCACAATTTACTACACCCCATAACAGCCATCAGCATTCCTGGATCTTACAGCTGCACCTCCAGAAATGTAATATATTTCATCCAATGTACCAAATGCCCTGATGGAAAATATGTAGGAGAGACCAAACAACAACTACATACCAGAATGAGCGCACACCGGAAATATATCAAACACAAGAATACCCAATTACTTGTAGGGGCACATTTCTCACAAGAAAACCACTCTCTCTCTAATCTCTCAATTCTAATCCTTTAAGAAAACTTACAAAATACTTCTCAGGGATGAGCCTATGAACTTCACTTCATTAACCTCCTGGATACTAAAAATGATGGACTAAATATAGACACTGGATTTATGACACATTATAACCTGCCTGACATCTGACTCCCCAAGTACCTCTCCACTCTTCATCCCCCTTCTCTCCCCCACCCAGCCTCTTTCACCCACAGACACTTCAATTTACATCTTCACTGACTTGCATGCAGCCCAGCCTCTCGCTTCTTTACTATTCATTCTGTCCAGGAAGAGCACATACCAAGTGCAGAGGCTTCCTCAGCCTGACGAAGGGTTTCTAAACCCGAAAGCTTGCTTAAATATTTTTTTTCCAACTATTTAAGTTGGTCTAATAAAAGATATCAGATTCACCCGAAGAACCTTGTCTGCCATGGTAAAGATGAGCCAGATGAAATATAAAAATGCACTGTGAAAAATATATAAACATGCAATGTGAGGTAGTGAGGATCAAAGGTTACTGGGGACAGTGAGTTAGGTTAGCACCAGGAGATATTCACAGTCTTTGAAGTGGATATTTTAGTTCTTTTGTTTTCTTTAATGACACTGAGCTTAATTGATATGTACATGTAGTTTCTAGGTTTCTCCTACAGAAAGCAGTTCAGCTTTCTGGCTTGCTCTGGGCCTCGCCACACCCATGCAATGAGTGTGCTAAGTCTCTATCAATACTTAGAAGGAAAAAGAAATGCACAAAATTGGGGGTGGGGGGGAGCAGGCAAGAAGGGGCTTCTGCTATATATCAATGTCCAGAGGGGAAATGTATAAAGGGGGCTTTCTGTTACACCAAGATGGCAACCAGGGTACAGGGCACTTGTCAAAGGCTGGGGCTACCCTTGTGGCCCTCAACAGCTCACCAAAACTTGTTAAGCGGCCCTCCAGCCAAAATAATTGTCTGCCCCTGCTTTAACATAAGTTATTAATAATGGGATATTCAGTTCCCATACATACCTGCTTTAGGATAATTCCCAAAATATCTTGGCCGTATTCTATGTGAAAATCCAGGAATAGGACCCAAGTATGGGTGATCCACTTTACTACATGTTGGCTGAAGCTGATGATCATAATAGTCCCAGTTGCCCCTTCAATAAATAAATCTGTAAATCTGTAGGATGCAGACATCAAGACAGGGAAACTATGTAAAGCTTCCCTCATGCATACAGCCCCTCCTTGTGTGCATGTCCTCTGTACTTCATTCCTTTTTTCCAATGTTCACTGTTGATAGGCAGCATGAAACAGAGGTGAGAGAACTTACTGAAATTCTGATATGGTTCAAATTTAGTTCTAGTACACTTAGAAATGGGCCTACAACAAGAAATTCAGGTCCCAATTTGGATGTCTCCAAAATACAAATAAGATCAGTTTTGAGCTGTAGTTCCAAGGGTTAGTCTGATTCTGAGTCACAATCATGTGAACAAGAAGTTTCTTTTGGTTCCATCTGAAACCATAAATTCACCCACGTTTGCTTGAGAATCAGCCTATTTTTGCAAACATCAGCAGACCTTCTGACAAACCTAGTCTTTGGCCCCGTTTGTGACAGACACCAAAACCAAATCTCAGATCTAACAGACACTTACACAATTACATAAAAACTTAACATTTGCAGGACTGGGGCCTAACATTTTAAATAGCACTGGTCTTTCCCACTTTCAACTTACATTTTTAGATAGAATTTTTTAAATAAATAAATAAATAAATACATGTTCTTCCATTTATTCTGTTACATTTCATGCACGATGTAATTTTAATGGACTGGATCACCTCCCCAGAGACAAGTTTACAGTGCCTTAAGTGAGAGCACACTTAGACCACTGTATGCTACAAACCACCTTTTGCTTTTCATGTTTATTATTTTAAATGCATAATGACACCAAAACATATAGATCTGTAGTCCTGAGAAAACATGCAATAAGAAACTAAAACCATATACAGTGGACATTATGATTAAGAAACCAGTAAGCTTTCAGCTGTGCTGAGACCACTGTAAACACATCACATCCTGCTCAGCTAAAACCCCAAATGTTTTATTTTAGATTTATAATCCTATTGTCTTATCTCACTGTGCTTGTAAGTGATGTTCCCTCCTCTCCATTCTGTTGATGACTTTGAGAGGCTGCGCCCGCAGCCTTTCAACAGCCGATGGCACCAATCGCTTCAGGAAGTCAACCTAAGAAAGGTGGCCTTCTGTGTTTAGAGGTGACAGAATGATTCTGGGGAGTTACAAGAAAAGACATGGAGATAAATGAGGGCAAGGAGAGCCTGCTTGGAAACGGTCTGTCTTCCAAGTTTGTCTTGACCAGCAGATCATCTGTATTGGGGTCCATCTCTGCTGGAGAGTGGCCATTTTTCTCTGAATCCCACTTGAATCCAGAATCCATCCCCCAGGACAAGTGCAGCAGGCCCCATCCTACTACAATGAGGGGTGAGGGGATCAGGCTGGCCCCAACGCAGCCTGTAGGAAGCTTGACCTGTTGGGGCGGTTGTGGCCCAGCCCTAACCCAGCCCTGCAGGGGCAAACAAGGCGTGGCCCAGCCCCGATCCTGAAGCAGGGGGAAGGGGTGTAGACTGGTCTGGCAGGGGAACGAAGTGCATGTTCTGTTTGGGGATTTGCCATGTTAGTGGCCACTGCTCCCCTGCCAACAAATCTCCAGCCTCGTGTGGACCCTGAGGGCCAGATGAGCTGATCCATGTGCCGAGGTTAAGCACCCCTGGAATCAAAGCAAAACAAAGGTGCTGGTCCCTAACCAACCTCATGTTGGGCTGCCTGTGGCACTGCACCCTGCAGACCCCAGTGAGATCCTGGGGCCCTGAGGCACCGCAGGCAACAGGATGTGACCTGTTAATAGGGTTACCATATTTCCAGTTTCAAAAACAGGGACAACAGTTGAGGAAGGGTGTGGGGGATAATATGATTGTGGAGGGGCAGTGATATATCTGTGCCCTGCCCCCACCCCCCAGGCCATGCTGGTGCCCCTAACTCCTGACCTGCAGCCCCCCAACACTGCCTGTGCCCCATGCTCCTGACCCACAGTCCCTGGCCCCTCCCGGTGCCCCTCACTCCCAACCCATGGCCCCCACAGCCCTGCCAGTGCCCCTCACTCCTGACCCACAACCCCTTGCCCCCCCACCTGGCAGCATTGGCCCGTGCTGCCAGCCTGGCCACACAGCTCCCTGCTTCCCCCAGAGGGTCCCCCAGCACTGTTCCCCCGCTGGAGGGGCAGGCGCCTCCCTCAGCACGTTGGCCATGTAAGTGTGCATGTGCATCTGCAGCCACGTAAGTGTGCATGGGCAGGTGCACATGATGCCCCCCGCCTCCAATCGCTCTCCCTTCACTCCCCCCCAGCCCTAAACAGCCCCTTATAGGGCAACCTGGGAAAAACTTCAATGCTGAGCAGAGCAAAATCCCAGACATTTGTTAATATTTTTAAAAATCAGCTGGCCAGAGATGGGAGGGCCCAAAAAGAGGGCGTGTCCAGGAAAACCCAGACTTATGGTAACCCTAGCCCTGCACCCTTTCTCCATCAGGGCGGACTGAAACGGGCAGCTGGGCACAGGTGGCTCCAGCCGTTCCCCATGGTGCCTGAGGGGTGGCAGCTAGGGGGGCCTTCATGGAGGACAGTCCAGTTATCTTGTGCCCTCTATTGATATAAAACCGGACAACTCAACGTCCTCTATTCAAGAGAAAAATAGAGGACGTAAAGGCGTTGGGTTTCGTATCAAGAGGACAGAGCAGCAGAAAACCAGAACGTCCTCTATGATCGCCACTCTTGTGGTAGTGCACCCGCCCCGGTGCAGCAACAGGTCCCTGGCGCACACGTGGCCGCCCCACAACCGCTGTGTCCGGCAGCTGAAGAGCTACGTTTTTCACAGTCTCAAAGCGTAGGCTTGAACAAGGCCCCAAATCCCGAGAGTTGTCAGCGCTCCCCCCCGTTACGAGGGCGGGCAGGGGCACTGAATGGGGGAGGGGGAGGGAAGAAATCTTTGCCCTCATCAAATATGTCGCATAGCGCAACGGGATCCGTCCGCCCACAATAAACATGGCAGCTGAGCACAGGGCGCCGGAGGCCCCAGACTAAACACGGCGGCGGCTGCGCAGACGGCGCTGACCCCTGCGTGAGGGCGCGCCGCGCGCGGATGACGCGACGTCGCACGGTGATGAGGCTGGCGGGGTTTTCCCCCGCGTTGTTGTGGGCCCGGCCCGTAGCGATGGGAGGCGGCGGCGGCGGCGGCCGCGGG